AAGCGAGAGTAGAGGGAAAAGAGGCCGAAGCTGAATTTGTTGTTATTAATGGCGAAGGGGCGGCACTGCTTGGAAGAGAAACTGCCATAAAGCTTGGAGTGTTGAAATTAGGAACCCAGATCTGCACTGTGACATGTAGTGAGACAATCATGTCTGATTACAAGGAGATCTTTGAGGGTGTGGAAAAGTTGAAAGATTTCCAAGTTAAGTTGCATGTGAATCCAGATGTACCCCCAGTGGCGCAACCAGTCAGACGAACCCCATTTAGTCTTCGAGACAAGGTTAAGGAGAAGATTGAAGAATTAATAGCCATGGACATAATTGAACCAGTAGAGGGCCCTGTTCTGTGCAGACTCACTGGGGGGCGTGAGATCCTCCCACTGCGGGTCCGGGCCCGAACAGGCCCAACCCCGTGGGTTAGTCCAGTTGTAGTAGTCCAAAAGCAGAATGACGAAATACGCCTTTGTGTAGACATGCGCAGAGCTAACGAAGCCATTATTAGAGAACGTTAACCCATACCCACAGTGAACGAGGTGCCCCAAAGGCTCAACCAGAGCACAATGCTCATTAAACTGGATTTAAAATGGGGCTACCACCAGTTAGAACTCCATCCAGATTCCAGAAGCATCACAACGTTGACTACACATTGTGGTCTTTACCAATACAAGCGCCTCATGTTTCGGATAAGTTCAGTTCCAGAAGTATACCAGCATGTCATCCAACAATTATTACAAGGCTGCAAAGGTGTTGCCAACATCTCAGATGATATCATCATTCATGAGAAGAACACTGAGGAACATGACAGAAGATTGCAGCGAGTTTTGGAAATGCTGAAAGAGAAGAACCTCAAATTGAAGGCAGAGAAGTGTAAGTTCCATATGACCCAGATGGTCTTCATGGGACTGCTGCTAAGCAACAATGGTATTGTTCCTGCTGAAGACAAGGTAAATGCGATCGTTGATGTAAGAGAACCGCAAAGCGCGTCAGAAGTCAGAGGCTTTCTGGGACTGGCAAATTACAATGCCCGTTTCATTCCGGACTTTGCTACAGCTGCAGAGCCATTGCGAAAGTTGACCAAAAAGGTGTTCGTTTCGAATTTGGAGAAGAGCAGAAGAGTGCATTCAATGCGCTTAAGAGGAGACTATCAAGTGCAGATAGTCTTGGCTATTTTGATAAAGATGCTAACACCACTAATCATAGCAGATGCAAGCCCGGTGGGCCTCGGTGCGATCCTCATCCAAGAGCAGCAAGGCAGGAAAAGAGTCATTAGCTACGCAAGTAAGAGTTTAAGCGCAGTGGAAAGGCGTTATTCGCAAACAGAAAAAGAAACTTTAGCTGTCGTATGGGTATGTGAACGATTCTATGTGTACTTGGACGGTATTGAATTCACACAGTATACTGATCATAAGCCGCTGGAAACAATCTACTCGAACAGGTCCAAACCGTGTGCACGAATCGAAAGATGGATCCTGCGATTACAGCCATATAAATTCCAAGTCAAATACCTACCTGGCGAGCAGAATATTGCTGACCCATTGTCACGCTTGTTGCATGCGAATGGACAAGCGGAACCATCACCGGCGCACAAGGTCTCGGATGAATTTGTCAGGTTCGTCGCAGCAACCGCCACTCCTCAAGCGATGACTTGTGAAATTGAAGAAGCCTTATCAGAAGACAGAGAGTTTGTGGAACTGCGCGAGTACATTAAAGATGGAAACTGGAAAGGTGACCAGCATAAGCAGTACGTACGAGTATGTGGTGAACTGTGTGTTATTGGCAAGCTGATCCTTCGTGGTACCAGGATTGTCATACCGAGCAAGCTTAGACCTCGAGTATTGAACCTTGCCCATGAAGGACACCCAGGAATTGTCAGTATTGAGCAGAGGCTGCGATCAAAAGTCTGGTGGCCTGGAATCGACAGGGAAGCCGAGAAGTTTTGCAAAACTTGTTATGGCTGTCAGCTTGTAAGCAGCCCAGCAACCCCAGAGCCAATCAAGTCAACACCATTACCAAGTGGCCCCTGGAAAGATTTGGCCATTGACCTGTTAGGCCCATTACCCTCAGCAGAATCTGTCTTAGTCATCATTGATTACTTCAGCAGATACTATGAAGTAGAAGTCATGCGTTCCACAACGTCAGAAAAAGTCATAGAGTGTTTGGAGAAAATCTTCACCACGCATGGACTACCTCAGTCACTCAGAGGTGACAACGGTTCACAATTCAGATCTGAAGTATTTGAATAGTATTTACAGGATAGTGATATAGAACACAGGAAGACCACGCCACTATGGCCACAAGCGAATGGCGAAGTGGAAAGACAAAGCAGGTCACTCCTCAAGAGGATGAAAATAAGGGGAAAGAATGGAAGACAGAAGTGCGAAAGTACTTGGTAGCATATAGGTCAACCCCTCATACTACCACAGGTGTGAGCCCAGCGGAACTCTTGTTCGGCAGAAAGATGCGTACTAAGTTACCCGAACTGAAAGAGGAGAGCACAGAGAGCGAGATGCGAGACAGAGATGGCAAAACTAAAGCCAAAACCAAATGGTGTGTAGACAAGAAGAGGAATGCCCACGAGTCTTACCTAGCTCCAGGTGATCAAGTGTTAGTCAAACAAGAGCGTAAGAATAAATTATCAACATCATTTGCTCCTGAGCCTACGATGTTATCACCAAGACTGGACACATTGTTGTTATTGAATCACCAGACGGCATTCAACTAATGCGGAACACAACCCATGTAAAGAAGTATGAGGAGACATCACAGAACCCGTGGGAAACAACTTCAGCGCTTGATGTTACTGATCCTGTGGAACCGGAGGCAGAACGAGAGAATCTGAGCAGCCCGGTTGTGACGAGAGCGATTAGAGTCAGAAGACCGCCGGAAAGATTTAAAGACTTTGTTATGACTTGAGTGTCATTATCAAGGACTATGTTTTGACTTAGGTGCCATTATCAGAAACTTTGTCGAGAGTTAATGCCATCATTGACTGTTACTGTTCATAAGGGGAGGATGAAGGATTTTGTGGCTAGCCGTTTTATGAGTTTCAATTGTACTGGGCTTTAAGCGACTCTCCGTTGTGTTGACATCTTAGGATCGTTGTGGCTTTAATGAAAAAGGAAGGGATGTAGTGTTTGTACGGTACACTGCGTGTGCCATACATAATATAGGTAAGCTGGTAATGTAAGAGAGGATTGAATCATTAAAGCAGCATGGCAGATGTATAGATTAGATTCGTGTGTATCCATTTCAATCGACTTTAGAACGTGACACCAGCGTCCTGCGATATTTTGCTAACGACGACAGAAGATACAAGACCTTTGTGGCAAACCGAGTGGCAGCGATTCGAGAACAATCGTTCCCGGCCCAGTGGAAATACGTCAACACGAAATCTAATCCAGCAGATGACGCCTCAAGAGGCCTATCACCCAATGCCATCATTGAAGACAACCGATGGACGATGGGACCAGACTTCTTGTGGATGGACGAAGAAGCCTGGCCAAAGACCTTAGTCGCTCACAATGATCAGAGAGAGGTTACTGACTAAGAAGTGAGGGAAACCTTTGTGACCAACACTGGTCAAGCCACAGCGAGAAGTTTTAATCTAGCAGAAATTTTCAAGATGTTCTCATCATGGATAAGACTGAGAAAGTTTGTTGCATGGATGCTCCACTTTAAGAAGAATCTTCGCGATCTAGCTGTCCTGAGGAGAGAGAAGAACCCCTCGGTATCCGAAAAGATCCATCCAATAAATGTAGAAGAGTTCCGCCAAGCTAAGAACGCGATCATTGCACTGGTGCAATGTGAAGCCTTTGAGGAAGAACTGCTGTCATTGGGATCCCCCCAAAAGGAACTGAAGAAATCAAGCAGCATCTTAAAGCTGGACCCCATGCTAGGGGATGGAATTATCTGCGTCGGCGGTCGGCTACAAAGGTCACCGATACAAGCGCAAGCTAAGCAGCCTGTCATCCTCCCAAGGTATCATCACATTTTGGACCTCATAGCGCGGCATTATCATCTAATCAGTGGCCAGTACGGGATAGAGCACACCTTATCCCTTGTTCACGAAACTTATTGGATCATCAAGGCCGAGCAACCCTCCGTCGCATATTGGCTTCCTGCTTTGACTGTAGAAGAAGAAACTCCTCCACGGGTAAACAGAAGATGGCTAGTCTACTGGAAGACCGCGTAAACCCATCAGAGCCTCCATTCAGCCGTATTGGGGTGGATTGCTTTGGCCCACATAACGTGCGTGGAGGGAGATCCATCGTCAAGAGATATGGGGTGCTATTCACCTGCCTCTCTATCCATGCTATTCACATTGAGGTAGCTCACAGCCTTGACACTGATTCCTTTATAAACGCCCTCAGGATTTTTATAGCAAGGAGAGGACAGCCGCTACATATGAGGTCCGATAATGGTGGCAACTTTGTCAGAGGTGAAAGGGAGCTGCGAGGAGCCGTGCGTGAGGGGAACCAAGGTAAAATCAACAACTTTCTCTTAGCAAGGAACATCAAATGAAGTTTCAACCCACCTGCGGGATCTCATCATTGGGGCGTCTGGGAACGCTGCATCCGCACAGTTAGGAAAGTGATGGGTGCCCTTGCCAAAGAACAACCTCTGGACGACAAAGGCTTGCAAACTCTGTTATGTGAAGTTGAAGGTAGTGTAAATGGACGCCCAATTATAAAGGTATCAGACGATCCTCGGGACCCGGAGGCGCTCACACCAAACCATCTACTGCTTTTGCGTGCGGGGCCACCTCAGCCCCTAGGCCATTTTCAGAGGACCGACAACTACTCTCGACGCAAGTGGCGGCAACTCCAGTACCAGTATTCTGGAAACGCTGGACACGAGAGTATTTACCTCCGCTGCAAGAGAGACAGAAATGGGAGAGAGCTTTGCGAAATTTCGCGATTGGTGACGTGGTGTTAGTTCTGGACGAGAACCTGCCCCACTGTTCCTGGCTTCCTGGAAGAGTGATTGAAGTATTTCCTAACCCCAGTGATGGCCTCGTCAGAAGCGTTAGACAGAAAACCAAGTCATCGGTGCTGGTGCGTCCTGTGGACAAGCTAGTGCTACTTGAAGTAGCATGAAGGAAGACTTACGAGAACTCATAATGTTCAACTGCTCAACTGTTATAATGCTTCAACTGTTCAAATGCTCAACTGTTATAATTCTAGTTACTTAGTGCGTTCAGACCCCGGTTCGTATGCTTGCTCAGTTTTGTTTTGGTTAAAGGCTTCGGCCACGTTGTTTTTGCCGCCTTTAAAGGGGCCGGAATGTTACTTTCATACCATAATAGTTCGTTTGTTTATATTTAGCCATGATTTCTGTCTTGTTCTCGTTGATTATCTACTTCTTGCGCAACTGTACATACTTGCGTGACAGGTTTAGCGATCGGATTTCGTTGTCTAAGGGACGTAGTTCTTTGAGAGGTTTATTGTTTCGACGCTACTTGTTCGCTAAACGCTACTTTCCTTTTCACCACCACATATCAGCTACCTATTACCACTGGGAGCCAGACTAAAGTAAGCCATTATATTGACTTGATCATTATAGTTAGCTTCAATATATTAATTGGCATGATTATCTTTCGCGCTTGTGTAGTCTCGCGATTCTATGCCACGTGCGTCTAGGTTAAGTAGTCCATCCACAGGCGTCGGCCTATTTAAGTTCCTGTCTTTGCTTTCTAGTTCGAACCACAACAAATCTCACTGCAACAAGACCTTACCGCTACGCAAAGCTACACATCGAATCATCTATTTATCATTCCACAAGCCCGGCGCTGCCCTTTTACGCCATTTCAATTAAAGTTTACGTTGTGCGTTACAATTGTCTTGTCTCCAAATTCTTTTCTTACGACCCTCGCTACACTACTATGTGACCTTTCGGGGCTACATCGACTGCTATGTAGGGATGAATTTCAGTGAGATACACCACTTGTCTGATTGGATGAAATCGAACTTTCTTCATCATCACTTTGGTCCCATGTATGATCATACCATTCCGACTCGTAGCCACTCTTATACACCCATTGCTAGATTTCCACTAGTCTATCATTGATTGACACACGTCATAACTCGGAAACAATTTGGACAGACAGGTCACTGACTTTGATCCGAAAAACATGTAAGGATGCTATGACTTGATTAAAATTTGATGGACAGATAATCGTGAGAGAGTTATAATGCCTGCTGGTATTTCATATTTTTCTCCGGTTTGTATGCTCTGTGGTTAATTTTTCCCGAGAAATCGGAATGTTCGTGAGCGTGGTGCTGCGTTTTTGAATACCCTGAGAAGTTCAATTTTTTTTCTGATAATTTTTTTTAAACAGGAGATTTAATTATCTCTCTTCGAATCACTGTCATTGAATTGCGTCGATGTATCGTTGTTATTTTCCTCACTTGCGGAATTTTGTATAGAATTTAAAATACTTTCGTCACAGCTAGTGATCACACTCACGCGTTACAGTATATTTTTAATTAAGATTCGCACTAAAGTAAACATTTTTATTGAGAAAAAAGCTATCGCATGTTTATACTTCCAACGGACCATTGTTCATTCTCAGAGAGTTTTGAATACTCGTGTGATCATCATCCGAACTATTTTCATTTATTGGAGTGGGATGAATTATTCACATCCCATCATAGGGTTTAGGCGGAAAGAAACCTTTTATTCTCGATTTTTTTTACACGATACGAATGCTAATGACATCTTGAAATCACTTTTACCATTGGAAGTATGAGTCAGCACCTTCCGTTTTATTGTTTCCTTTGTTTGTCTCACTCTGATGTTTGACTGTTAGGGCTTTTATTTTGATTTTGATATGGGAATAAGTGGGTTAAGGAATTGGGCTTAGGTTGAGAGTTAGGGGTGTGCTCGTGTGAGTGACTGCAATAACCCAGGTTTCAATCCTGGTCACGCGAACTTTTTTCCTTTTATTCTAAAATGAACGTTTTTTTTGAATATTCACTTTATCTTGAAATTATTTTCCCTAAGAGAGGATTAAACACCATCTTAGGTTTCATTATTTTTATTGTTTTTACACCATCTTAGATGTCTTATATTTTCAAATTATGAAAAAACACACTCCTATAACCTACGAAACTTAACCCTAAACCAGGATTTATTCAACGCTTTTAATTTGTGTTTCCTTCCTACATCTTTCATACATTTCCTTCTAATTTTCAAGTGTAGATACTCTATTGTCCTAGAATCGGTATGGGTAGTTGCGTGATAC